AAAAATTAAAGTTTTTGCAAGTAACAAAAATGAACAACTCTGGTGTGAAGAACCTAGAACTTTACTAAAATGAAAAATGTAGTAAAATGTTTACAAGCAACAAGAGGAGAAAAAGAACATTTGTGCTAGTGGTACGTTGACTAGACAGTTGTTACAAATTGTAAACTGTAGCAATACCGTGTCAATCTAAATTCTATGAGAAATATATGCCTACATCTTCAGGAGAGATATGCGAAAATGCATTGTTACGTTGCTCTTGTCTAGGCTGCTCAGGTCTTGATCCACTGCCATAGGGATTGTATCGAATCTTACAGCTGCTGCATTGCCCATATGCATAAATTCATTGCTATGTTGCTCTTGTCTAGGCTGTTCAGGTCTCGATGATTTGCTGGAGAAATTATAATCAAATCGAAGATATACAGCATTGTCCACATGCATTAATATATTATTGTGTTGCTATTGTCCAGGCAGCAGAGTTCTTGATCCACAGCTATAAGAAATATAATCAAATTGAAGTTCTGCAGCATCATTCACATGCATAAATGCTTTGTACTCAGCACTTAATTCACAAACATAGGACGTATAATCAAATTGAAGATCTGTAGCATTGTCTATATGTATAAATGTGTTGTTCAGTTGCTCTTAACCAGGCTTCTCAGGTCCTGATCCACTGCCATATGAATTACAATGAAATTGAAGAAGTTCAGAATTGGCAATGTATGTGATTGCATTGACCTGTTGCTCCTCAGGTACCCACACGCTACTATCAACCTCACAGACCTCAATTTCATTCCTTTCATTTTTCTTAATCCCCTTCATTTTTTATCGTAATGAATTCTGCATAAAACTATGTCATTCCTAGTATTGAAAGACGAAAACAGTTAGGCCATTAAAAACATGATGTATTTATCAAATAAAAGTGTTTGCTAAAGTGAGTACCTTCTCGTTTCATATGTTGTACTTTGGAGGATCAAAACTCTCGACTAAGATGTATTCAAGCATTATCCAATTAGTCTTGATTCCAAGTCCTTTCTTGGATTTTTTTTCCCCTTCTGAAAATAAGGTCGGATGTTTTTCCTTTCAATATCGGATCCATCAATATCGTCATATATTCCATTTATAGAGCTGGTCATTTTCCAATGCCATTTGTCCTTTCTCAAACTTTCGCTCGCTCAATGTGAAGAAATAAGCACACTCCGAACCCTCGTCCAAAGCTTTAGATTATTATTTTTCAAAGAAATAGAAAACAACATATCAGAAATCCATACCAAGAAAGCAACATGACTGGAAATATCAAGTTCAGTTTAATATACAGTGTAAACAAATATATAGCCGTCAGTAGTGACCTGTGCAAGAAAGTGTCACTTACAAATTAAATTGTATCTTTAGTGTCAGTTATAAATTAAATTGTATATTTATGGATATGTAACACAATGAGGGCTTCAAGAATCATAGAATTTTTTATTCATTATTCTTTCATTATGAATTTATTGTTGCCCAAAATACTGTGAATATTTGAGGAGAGAAAATAATATTAGTCGATGCTTACAATTGGGTTTCAAGAAACACAAAAAAGTAGAAAATCAGTACTACTAATACCAATATCCAACTTTAAATAACATTAATTCTCTAAATAAATAAACGTATTAATGCCTGTTCAATGTTATACATACTAGAAAAATATACAAGAGAAAACTACTATAATACAAACTGAAGTCAGCGCTATATATACATGTTTATCGGATGTCACGGAATGGATAATACATGTTTATTATATATTCAAGAAAGCTGTATATAATACGACTGTTATATCTCTATTTCACCAAGAACTAAAAGACAAGGAAAAAAAAAAAGGTTGAACCCCAATGTTGAGGGCCCCAGCGCCCCGCCTCTAGATCTTTGTGAGGGAGGTAAATCGCGGGATGTGCCTCAATAGATCAGGGAACAAGAACTGCTTATACACTGTACCTACAAGGAGTCCAATTCTATATCTCACGAATCGAACCCCAACCCTGCGGCTGCCAATAAGATATGAGATAACCTCACTTTTGTCCTTTGTACTACTAGACTATGTCCCCGGGGACTAAAAGACAAGAAAGTAATATATACTGGATGGAGTTGGAACAGATGCAACTAATACACATTACTATTGTCATGCAAGAAAACTATATCTCATTATTTATACAAGAAAGCTACATACATTTATACAAACTCAAAACAATGTTGTATATACACGTCTATCGGATGTTCTAGAGAGGATTATACACTTTTGTTATATATACAAGAAAGTGGTATATAAATGTGATCATTATATTTTTATTTCACCAAGAATAAAACATACAAGAAAGTAATATATACCTTATGGGAGTTGGAATGGATGACACTGGTAAACATTAATGTTGTCATGAATTATGCCTCGAAACATATTTGTGACTTTTACTTTAAGAAGCAAATAATGCTTCAACAATTCATTATTGGAAGGTTTAAATCGAAAACCCGGCCTCAAGTTTTTCTTCCAATTTGTATCCACACTTTCTGAGGTTTATTGAATATAACTATTTGTATATGGGTTTTCATCAATAGTATATATATGTGGTTTATTGTAAAAATTCGTACAGGGGTTGATATCTATTTTTTCTAGAGTTAGACGAATGAAATGGTTTGTATATGGATTCGTATTAATGATTTTTGAAGGCTTTTGTTTGTGGAGTTAGTTGAATTTGATTATAATTTACTGTGCATTCACCTACTGGATCTATACACACATATATAGATAAATTTGAAACTCTAATTCCACATTAGAATTTCCACTTTTGTTGGTAAAGAATCTTTTTCCTTTTTCCTTTTTTCTTTTTTGTAAATTGTGCTGTAAGTTATATGAATTAATGTTGATCACTAAACTAATAAGTGACTATTATAATGTTATACTGAATATATTAACCACACATTTTTTTTTCCTTACGATGTAGTTCGTTAAACTTGTAATTTTATTTCAATTTAAGCACTATGTCTACCATGTCTCGTGAATTTATGAAAAAAAGGTGAATTGATTTTCAAAATTTCATTTAACCACGAAAAATTTTCCGCTAAGTCAAAATAATAGTTATATTAAAAGTTTGATTACAAACACAAAACAAACTATCAATTAAGTGACTAGTGCTTTTTTAAACTTACTATTATTTTTTTAACAAAATATTTTTATTTTATTAATAAAAGCCACAAAATAAAGACTCTTTCACAATGTTTTGAAAACCAACCGATCATCAACTAGAAAAAGGAAAATGGTTAAGGGTCGAAAGGTCAAACCGATAGTGAAAAAGTAAAGAGAAATAAATATTTTTAAACAATAAAATAAGATTAGATAATACTAAATACTGCTAATTAATGTTAGAAGAATTTTAAATTTTTTAATAATTAAAAAAAAGAAGAAGATTAATTAACTCAATGAAATAATTAACTCACTACAGCAAAAAAGCCCTTTTGCAATATTCAAAGGGCAACATTCATTGATTGAATGTTACTAAATGAGTCTATGGCAACATTCGGATAAGTGAATGTTGCGAATGATTAATTTTATTGAGTTTTAGCAACATTCTTTGTATGATGTTGCAAAAAGGGACTTTTCGCAACGTTCATTGAATGTGGCTAAAGAAATATATGGCAACATTGGGATAAGTGAATGTTGCGATTGATTAACTTTATTGAATTTTAGCAACATTCATACATAAGTGAATGTTGCGATTGATTAACTTTATTGAATTTTAGCAACATTCATACATAAGTGAATGTTGCGATTGATTAACTTTATTGAGTTTTAACAACATTCTTTGTATGAATGTTGTGAAAAGCGACGTTCATTGAACGTTGCAAATAGTGGAACTTTTCACAACGCTGTGAAAAAGTTAATTTTCGCAACATTCAAAAATGAACGTTGCCAAAATCCTTGTGACTCTTTAAAAGTTATCCGACGGAAGTGCTACATGTACATAATTGCTTACATAATGGTGTCCATAATTACATATGGTACTGGATCCAACCTTTAATTCAAATCTGACACTTGTATATTAACAAACGGATGATTGCCACATCACATTATAGACACCATTATGTGCAATAATTATGTACAAGTAGAATTTTTCAAAGAAAAAAGCTCATCGAAATCATTTCAATTCAATCTAATTTTTTCATCTTTTCCTGTCTCCGACTCTCACTCGTCTGTCATCACTTCTTCTCTTACAATACTCTTTTTCCCCCTTGATGGGAGTGGACGTCGCCATCTCTGGAGGCACCACCACAACCATTTCGTGGTAATAATGTCTGCAGCTACTTGGCACCATTCTTCAAAGCTTTCTCATGCTCTTCCCCAATTCTCTGCCGCACAGCTGTGCTTGTAGGCCCTAACCAATGGCAGTACTACCGGTTAACCTTAACTTCCCTGATTACTTTCTCATCTAGCAACTATAAACCTCCAGCACCGATGGTTCTCGCACGGGCTCGGCAAAACTTATCTTTCCTGGTCAAAGAATATGAAGTAGCTTCTCGTAAGGACATAATAATAAATTCACAGTTGTACAATAATAATTGTTAGTTTATATTGTTAGAAAAACACGATTTCTCTAAATTAATATTGGCAACATATTAATACAATTATATTAGCTATTTAATATAATAGGCAAAAATCAAGTGGTCTATTTTTTGTATGCCCATAGACTACTCAAATTAATATGGACTAAGTGAGTAGATACCGGCTAATATTACTCTAATTAAGTGATAATGGGAACCTTAATTAAGTAGTATATAAAGGTTATTTTGGTTATGGTCCCCAATATATCAAATCATACACTCTTTTTCCTTCTCCCCATCAAGAAGAGAAATCACGGTCCCATTGAGGAATAAGGAGATTTGGTTGAGGAAGATCACAAAACCACCCTCTTCATTTGCATTCATCGGTACGTAGTCGATTGTCGCAGTAATTCCGCAACAGTAGGCAATCGTTTACAATGGATACAGGTATATTATCTGAATCTGTGAATCCTAGTAATTTAGCATGATGTTGATCCTAGGATTTAATTTATATTTGGATCTAATTTGATTTTCTAACAAGTGGTATCAGAGCGGTCATCATTTGCTAGATTATTAGGATTTGTGCATGTTCTATTCATATGATATTTGGATTATTTTTTCTCGAATAGAATGTTTGAATTTTTTGAAATTCCTTAAACTGTTAAGTTTAAGAATTATTTTTGATGCATTCGGCAAAATCGGATCTCGAAATTTTCGGCATAGTTAGTATTGATTTTAAATTCCGTCCGTGTCCATTTTAAGTTTTTTTTTTGGGATATGAATTTCATCTGTCTTTTAGACATCTGTAGTTTCGGATCATTTTATAATGAATACATATTCTGTCCCTGTCGATTAAAAAAAAATTTTTTTTGGGGCTGAATTTCAATTGCATCAAGAGCAAGTCAGCAATTTTGGACTATTTATAATGGAAACATCACTTTTGGTAGCGTGTAGATCACTGTCAAAATCTGTGACCTTCATTATGGATCCAGAAATCAGAATTTCAACTGCATGGATTAGCCGCATTTTTTGACCCTTGTTTTATGTCTCATAATGGAGTCAATATAGAATGGTGTATGATAGAATACTATTTGGCATATTTAGTATAGATTGGTAATACACGTAACCTTTCACAATGGATCAATTTCAATTGCATTATATGATTCAGTTGCAATTGTTGACTTTTGTTTCATAATGGGTCGAAGACATATGCCTTTTGGTTTAAAATATCCTTTTTTGTAATGAAGGAATTAGAAACAGATTGTGGTAAACATAAAATTGAAAATTGATTCATTTTGTTCAGCCCATTCATATTTCAGAATTCAGTTTTTCCAATTTTAAGTTTTAAAATAAATTCAAGACTTTGGTTTTGATTGTTCCCTTTGGATATCTAGTATATTCAATTTAATTGATTAAAGCAACATGTTGCCAAAGTAACCCCTATTGTGTAGATTGATTTAATTGAAAATACATAGATGTTTTGTACGGAGTTATTTATGCGAATCGTGCTCGGCCCAAAGGAAGACACAATTTGGCCAAATAACAACGTGCTTGTGATGATAAATGTGTGACAATTATAAAGACATTTCATGTGAATAATAGTCGGTCCAAAGAAAGGCTATTATTTGACAGAATTAATTGTCAATGTTTGATCATTGCACCAAGAGTACCAATTACAGTTAATTTCTCTATCCAAAGACTAGGAATTAATGTCGTACTAGGTATCTTGAGATGGATCCCAAAATCTGGATTATTTGTGCGTGTCTTAATTTTCTTATTTGACATGCTTGCTTATTTTGTTCTCTATACAATTTCTGTTGTTAATGCTGCGAATGTCTCTGCTCAAGTCAGCAATATCCCAATGTTGAGCGGGACGAACTTTAAAGTTTGGAAAGAAGCCGTGGAAATTGTCCTCAGCTGTATGGATTTGGATCTTGCACTTCGTTCAGATCGACCCGCTTCTATTCCGGAAAACCCCAAAGAGGGTAAAATTGAAAAGTGGGATCGCTCTGACCGGATGTGCTTGATGATCATGAAACGTTCCATTCCGGAAGCGTTTCGGGGCTCTATTACTGAGAGCGGGAGTGCCAAGAAGTTCCTTGAAGAAATTGAGCAATATTTTGCCAAGAACGGAAAATCGGAGGCGAGTAACCCTTTGGCTAAACTCGTTTCCATGAAGTATAAGGGCAAAGGGAACATAAGGGAGTACATCATAGAGATGTCTCATCTCGCATCAAAACTCAAGTCGCTTAAGTTGGAGCTGTCTGATGACTTGCCCGTACACTTGATTTTGACCTCTCTTCTTGCGCACTTTGGGCAATTCAAAGTGAGTTATAACACTCAGAAGGACAAATGGTCCCTAAATGAGCTTATATCTCACTGTGTGCAAGAAGAAGAGAGGCAACAGCGTGATAAGACTGAGAGTGCTCACTTGGACTCAACCTCTCAGAACAAGAAAAAGAAGAGAGCTAATGATGCTGTGGAAGGAACTTCTTAGCAGAAGAAGCCAAAGAAGAAGGATAAAGAGTTTACCTGCTACTTCTGCAAGAAGTCGGGACAGATGAAGAAGGAGTGTCCCAAGTACGCTGCCTGGCGTGTAAAGAAGGGTATGCTTCTAACTTTAGTTTGCTCTGAAGTTAATTTAGCTTCTGTACCTAAGGATACTTGGTGGGTAGATTCTGGTGCTACTACTCATATAAGTATGTCCATGCAGGATTGCCTGTGGAGTCGATAGCCAAATGATGCTGAAAGATTCATCTTTGTGGGCGATGGCAATAAAGTTGCGGTAGAGGCTATAGGGACTTTCAGATTACAATTAAAAACTGGGTTTTATTTGGATTTGTTTGAGACATTTGTTGCACCGTCCTTTAGACGGAATTTAATTTCTATTTCTAGTTTGGACAAATCAGGATTTTCTTGTTCATTTGGAAATAATAAAGTTAGTCTCTATCAAAATTCAAATTTTGTTGGTTCCAGTTATATGATTGATAATCTGTATACTTGATATTGTTAGTTCCTATAACGAAATACTGTAAACAAGTTCACGTGGTACAAAGCGAAAATTAAGTGAGAATTCTGTCACTTTATGGCACAAGCGTTTAGGTCATATCTCTAAGCAGAGAATTCAGAGGCTTGTGTCGGATGAAATTCTTGAACCCCTAGATTTAACAAACTTCCAAGTTTGTGTTGAGTGCATCAAGGGGAAAAGAACAAACATGAGAAAATTAGGTGTCGAGAGAGCTACAGACGTCTTAGAACTGATACATACTGATATCTGTGGCCCATTCCCTATGGCTTCTTGGAATGGACAACAATACTTCATTACGTTCATAGACGATTACTCTAGATTCGGTTACCTATATTTAATACACGAGAAGTCTCAATCCCTGGATGTTTTCAAGTCTTTTAAAGCTGAAGTTGAACTTCAACTTGAAAAGAAAATAAAGGCTATCAAATTTGACCGTGGTGGTGAATACTACGGAAGATATGATGGATCAGGAGAACAACGTCCAGGACCCTTCGCTATTTTCCTCAATGAGTGTGGAATTGTTCCGCAATACACCATGCCGGGCAAACCTAGTATGAATGGTGTTGCAGAACGACGAAATCGAACTCTTAAGGATATGGTAAGGAGTATGATAAGTCATTCCTCCTTACCAGAGTCACTTTGGGGAGAAGCTTTAAAGACCGCAGTGTACATTCTTAACAGGGTACCAAGCAAGGCAGTTGCCAAAACCCCTTATGAGCTGTGGACAGGCAAGAAGCCTAGCATTAAGCACTTGCACATTTGGGGTTGTCCAGCTGAGGGACGGCCTTATAGGCCACATGAAAGAAAACTGGACTCAAGGACGGTTAGCTGCTATTTCGTTGGTTACGCTGAACGCTCTCGGGGCTATAAGTTTTACTATCCCACATCAAGATCCTTCTTTGAAACGGGAAATGCGAGATTTCTTGAGGATATTGAGTTTGGAGGGGAAGGAAACATAAGGAACGTTGTCTTTGAAGAAGAATCTGTTATTGACAGCAATCAGGTCTCTGTACCTATTGTTGTTCAAGACACAGTTCGAGCAATAGATGACAATGTTCAGGCTCCTATTCCTGACATTGTTTCAGACCAAGACAACAATGAGATTCTTCCTCAAGCACCACCTATAGAACAAACTCAACAATCTCAAGAAGTGCTATTAAGGAGATCCACTAGAGAGAGAAGAAATGTGATTTCAGATGATTATATCGTCTTTCTTCAAGAACATGAGGATGGCGCTGGTTTAACGGAGGATGACTCGATCAACTTCCATCAGGCCATGCGCAGTTCTAACTCTCAGAAGTGGATTGATGCCATGAAAGTTGAGATAAAGTCTATGAAAGATAATGACGTTTGGGATCTCGTCGAGTTGCCTAAAGGTATGAAGCCCATTGGTTGTAAGTGGATATTTAAAACCAAGAGGGATTCAAGAGGCAGTGTCGAGAGATATAAAGCTCGTCTAGTCGCTAAAGGCTTTACTGAAAAGGAAGGCATAGACTACAAAGAGACTTTCTCTCCGGTATCTTCGAAAGACTCTTTTAGAACAATAATGGCACTAGTGGCTCATTTTGATCTAGAGCTACATCAGATGGATGTCAAGACTGCTTTTCTCAATGGAGAGATTGATGAAACGATTTACATGGTACAACCAGAAAGCTTTGTATCAGGAGATCCAAAGTCTATGGTTTTTAAGTTGAAGAAATCCATCTACGGTCTCAAACAAGCTTCCCGTTAATGGTATCACAAGTTCCATCAAATCATTACCTCGTACGGTTTTGAGGCAAATGTTGTTGATGACTGTGTATATCATAAGTTCAGTTCAGTGGGAGTAAATATATCTTCTTGGTATTATATGTTGATGATATTCTACTCGCTAGCAGCGATATAGGCTTATTGCATGAAACCAAGAAATTTCTGATGAAGAAATTCGAGATGAAAGATCTTGGGGATGCCTCTTTTATATTAGGTATTCAGATACTGAGAGATCGTTCTCGAGGTATCCTTGGACTTTCACAAAAGAGCTATATCGATAAAGTTTTGAATAGATTTGGCATGAAAGATAGTAGACCAGGAGACATGCCCATCTCTAAAGGAGACAAGTTTAGTCTCAAACAGTGCCGCAATAATGATCTTGAAAGAGAAGAGATGCAGAAGATTCCCTATGCATCAGTGGTAAGGAGTCTAATGTACGCTCTAATTTGTACTCGTCCCGACATAGCATTTATAGTGGGAGTTTTGGGTAGATACTCGAGTGATCCTAGCATGCAACATTGGAAAACAGCCAAACGCGTGATGCGTTATTTGAGGAGAACAAAAGACTACATGCTCACTTATCGGAGATCAGATAGTTTAGAGATCATCGGGTTCTCTGACTCCGATTTTGCGGGATGCCAAGCTAGCAGACGCTCCACATCAGGCTACGTCTTTATGTTGGCTGGAGGAGCTATCTCATGGAAGTCTGCTAAACAGACTCTCATAGCTTCGTCAACCATGGCTGCGGAGTTCATTGCTTGTTATGAG